TGATTATTTCGAGATTCTCATTTCTTAAGAAACTGGATTGGAATATAGATATTTGATGTTTCTACTGTTTTGTTCACAAATATATTTAAATGTAACTTTTGGATATTTAAAATTATTGTTTATGTAGACATTGTTAACAAATTTACAGCTTTGAAGTGTACAAGATAAAAACTTGTGATGATGCGTCATCACGGAAAATCTATCTTACCTTACGCTAGCCCCGCTCCCGATAGAAACATGCGACCGAACAGCTGTTGCCGCATAAGCCCACCCGCACATGTCCGAGATCTTGCGATTTATTATTCCTCAAGGTCTACCCAACCGATGCGCACGACCCTTACACCTGCGTACAACCTCTCGCGCACTCACGACTCGGACCGACACTCCCTCAGGAAGCTGGACGTCAATAAAGACTCCAGCTGGGATCAGCTGATCTCAAGCCGCCGTCTAACTAGAGCAGACCTAGCTAGACCAAAGTAGGTGCAACTGAGCGCGTGAGAGCGAGCGAGACAACCGATACGAGACCGATCGGACGCGAGCGAGGGGAATCGGTAGGACTAACGGACGGCTGTTAGACAAGGATAGGCGATAATGACGCTAACGGATTAGCCAATCGGTAATAGCTTAGGGATAGTTCGACAAATAACATAAAACCGACGCTATCAGTGCAACCAGTAAGGTAATTAGGCGCCAAGACTCGACCAATAGCGAAATACGCAGGCAATGATTAACAAAATAGACGGCGCTGACATCCGGCTTAGCAAAAAATCGACCAATCGCACGATTTCTAAGGTGAGGTAAGCGAAGAGAAGCGGTGCGTCGCTGAAAAACGTCGCGCCAGTGTCTGCCGAGCTCTGGAGCCGACCAGAGCCAGTATCCGCTGACCTCCGGAATCGACCGAAGACCTGAACTCGCGAGTGAGTGAGCCAGCAGACAAAGCAGCAAGCAGCAAGCAGAGCAGAGCAAGCAGAGCAGCAAGCAGCAACGAGCAACAAACAGCAGCGAGTAGCAACAGCAGCGAGCAGCAGCCCCAGCGAGCAGCGACCAGCAGCAACAAGTAGCAGCAGGAACGGCAGGAGCAACGGCAGCAACAATAGCGGTAGCTACGACGGCATTAGCGGCGGTAGCCGCGGTCACGATCGCGTCGAGTTCGAACAAACGCACGAGTAAGTACCTTTCTCTTCTTCCCATTAAAATCCCGTGATTGTTTAAACGTTCACGTTATCGGGAATGCCGCACGACCTTCGCGCGTCTGATAAATTCGCTTATGCGCACATCTTTCGTCACTGATCTTTCGGGCGATTTTTCTTTGTTGTCGTCATACCGAGTACCGTCCGAACAACGAATTCTTCGCGCACGCGTGTCTATTTGCCGTCGATTCTTTGTCTGACCTTTATCAATCTGCCGAACGATGAGCGAACTTTTCCGATTTTCGTGCGGAAAGTAAATTCTCCGTGTGCGCGTAGTCTTATTGCCGATCCTCTCGAAGTGATTTCCTTGTAAGTTGCTATATACCGAATAGACAGAGCCTGATCTTTATACGACCGACCGATCCCCCGTGTGCGCGTTAGTTATTGTAAATTCTTTTGTGTGATTTTCCATTGTGGATTGTCGAACGCCCACAAGCATCGCGTGACCTTCGCGCGGGCTACGAGTTTTCATACGTGTATTGACGAAATTCTTTTGTGAAGCCGATCGGACTTATATACATTACGCGAGTCGTGTCTGACCGTCACTCGACCGACAAATTTTCCGTACGAACATTACTATCCTCCGATTTTCGTTATACGATTTTGTTTTGAAGTGCTAAACATCGATCGAGTAGCGTCTGACCTTCGCGCGACCGGCCGATCCTCGCGCGTATGTAAATTCGTCGTTAGTTTCCCTGAACGAACTTTTGTGCTTTGCGCGTTGAAATAAATAGTCCGACGTTGTGTAATCACCTTACAATTTTTGAGTACGTCCGCATCAACCGTCGTCACCTCAAGTCGAAGTCGCGTCATGGTACGCCACTGGCGCCCCTACCAGGTTAGAATAGGTAGACCATCTTGAACGACTGACCTTGCGCTGCTCCGGGATAGTGAGTTTGTTCAATAAACTCGAGTCCTTATTAACTTAGTGTTATTATTGACTTTGCCCGTTTGATTACCTCATCCCCAGTAGCATTCGCGGTCGGTCTCGAGATTAGCGAACGCGTTGAATTAATTGATATTTCGACAATTGCTATCACAAGCCACGTAACCGGTCGATTTGGATCCTCTCCTGCCTATTGGATTGTCAACGAGGCGTCCTGAGTCGCCGCTCTGATGTACCCGCTTCTGAGACAAGAGCCTCGTGCCCCGAACATCACTGACTAGCCGTCGAGCCTCAGCCATGGTAGCTAAGTTATCCGTTGTCCCCTTTTCCCGTTTGATTCTTTTCTCGAACGACTCAGTCTAGGACTTTGCACTCACCGTCTATACGCGAGGACACGGTAGCTGGCGCCCAAATAAAATAAAAGCTGAATACATCGGCTGACTGCGCCGCTGGCGGCGGTCGAGGCCGGAAAAATCGATTACTACACACTTTATTTTTCCTCTCCCCTTGTCTCGTCGCAAACTTTTATTATTTTTCAAAGTATAAGGAATTTGATTTGTTTTAATTCTATATATATTTTTCATGCACATATACGACATATCTCATACAAATTGAATTAAAATTATTAAAAAAAAAATTTTTTTATAATTAGAAATTTATTCTCTTTACCATTCTTTTGTAGGATGCATAGTATTTAAAATACAAAAAAGTTTTTTTAAATTGTGATTTTTTACAAAATCATACCGTATCATAAAAAAATATTAATCATAATATTCTATAAATCATTTTAAATCTTTTGCAAATGCCTTTCTAACGACTAAGTTTACTCACTGATAATCAGAAAGAGAATGAAGCAGATGAAGAGCATGGGTCAACACCATTAACTAAAACTACATATATGAGTAATACAGCATTAAGGTATGGATTTATTCACTCATCCACACCTACAGTAGATAATATATATAGCTTGAATTATTTTTTTCATCAATTAGAAAATTGTATGTCAGCTTTTCAATTTTTAAGTTTTGATTTTTTTTTCGTTACAGATTTTTTTATCATCGTGGAAATCATTAATGCTATAGCATGCATCTCGTACTACTTACCAATAAGATAGTTGAAAGAGTTGGGTTGAAACATTTTATACTCAATCACTGTTATCAATAAAATTCAAGCAAATTTGGGTCTGAAATCGTCATTGACTTCGAAGCTGATTTTGATATGTTCCTTCCAAACAAATTAAATGAACACTTCATTGCAAACCCAAACTTAATAACATCTTTATTTGGTGAAATTAATAGTAGATGTTAAGTTAGAATATCTTCAATCAAAGTTGAAACTATTCATAGCAAAAAAAGTGTATCTATCTCTGAAATTCAGGATTGAAAAGTATGAAACATTGAATTCAGATTACAGTTTGCACTCTGTACTTAACGTAAAAATCAATTAAGATAAATAGTAGTCTTTTTCATTTAAACAATCCTTCTTCATTAATCATAAGACAGTATAATAGTATACCATACATAAATATCTCTGACACTTTAAGAAAAGATGATAAAAAAAGGATAAAAAAGTGAATAAATCATCTTAGTGGAAGTCATATACTGTAGATTTCTCCATCAATACGAAATCAATATCAAAATTAGATATTAATAAGATTTTAAATGTATAATATTGAATAATGTATGTTATTTACTCATTGCTTATATTATTAGATTATGTTAAATAAATAGAAATAATTTTTTAAACAATATGTTTTTGATTTTTCAATGACTTTATCCCTCTGGGCATGGAGCATGCGCATATATACTAACGATTCATAAAACAACTCTACAAGGGTAACTAAGTATTATTATCGTTCATTGAGGTGAATCTTGATCTTGATGGGATTGACGGGATTGGTAAAAGATACATTTTAGAGAACTAAATGAAAGGACACACCACGTGGTATAATGGAAAGTAGAGTATAATCGAGAGAATGAAAATCTGGCACTGATTGCACGAGACATTCGTTCAAGCTGCCTTTCTGAAGTATACAGAGTGCTCTCGGGTCTCTTCCTGTCTCTTGGTGACGCGTACAGGGAAGGCAGAACCACACTGCGGCTATAAGACTTTCGGCAATAAGAGGCTGCAATAAGCGTGAAATTTTTTCTAATTTCGCGATATTTTTTTTCTCTTCACCGCCCAGTTCGTCTATGAATCATATAATTTTTATAAATTTCAACAAGTATTCGTCGGTGAACAGCTATATAATAGCTACAATCAATTAGCTATAAATTTTTTTTTATTTCATTGTATTTCATATTATTTGATTCGTTTCGCGCATACTCATCACTTCGACACAATATTATTATACGTATGTTATTATACGTATTTTATTAACATGTATTCTATTACGTATGATCAATTTATAATATCAATTATTTTTAACAATAATTGATATAATTATAACGCCAATTTTAACAATAAGTTTTACGGTTAGGGCATTACATAGTGGTAATTAGTCATTCGATTACGGACAGAAGAAAGGCGTCAGTGGTTTTTCTGAAATGTTGCAAGAGTTGCAACACTCTCAGGTTAAATCTTATAATTCACAATATTACAAACTGATTGAATAAAATGAGCGATAGTCAATGAAATGATGAAACTTTTATTTTCTTTATTATACAGTCTCAAAATTTACTATTTTTGAATGCAATAACCAATATTACTGAAAAATGAACTGCAGTGCATCGTGTAATCTCATTGGATAAACTCACGCTTGATAAAAGTATTTATAACTTATTATATTTTTTACTTAGTTAATTCATGAAAGAATAATTACTTTTCATTTTGATGAACTACTTCTATTTTTCTAAGACAATATTAAAACGCAGTGAATATTGCTTTCTAAATGAAATCAGTACAGTATATTTCCCATGTTACAGGATGCACGCGGTTGGATTACATTCAGCTTTGGCTATTAAACGCCAGCGAAAACGACGAGATGAACAGCGCCGTGCTAAAGAACGTAGATATAGTAGCCAATCTGGTGAAAGCGGTTTGACATCACCAAGATTATCGACAGCTTCGCTCGATCAACGTCGTCACCATAAAACCCATACGGAAAGATCTAATCAAGGAGTGTTAGATACTAAAGTTGTAACATCAATAGGAATGTTGCATGTTGGTGTTGTATTCTTAGTATTGGGGGCTTTTTTATTAATTAGTGGTATTCTGCCTAATGATTTAGATTCATTAAAAAACAAATCTTTCATTAAATGGTGGAATGAACTTGTAGCAATCGGACTTTTTTCAATCACAGTTGGATGTTTTTTAATTATCTTAAACCGTATTATTACTAAAAAGGAAGAAGATGATCTTGAAAAATATGTAAAACGTCAATTAACGCGATCGAAGTCGGGTCATCGACTTGAAAGAGATATTGAAACAGGCGAGCTAACCACGAAACATGCTAAGAAAGCAAAACAATATAAAAATTTGAATTCATCAATTTCCATCAATAGTCGACCTATAAAAGATATACCCAATACATATTCATTAGCAAATCCATCGCCAGTTTATACAACGTATTCAATATGTGAAACTCATCCAACAATAGAATCTTCTATATTTTTAGAAGGAATAGCTGAAGAAGATGGCATTACTGATAGACTAATAACTTTAACTCAATTACATACCGAATCAGAGTTGACGAATAAAAAAAACTTATTTGAAAAATAATTTTAGCAAAAATAATTTTTGCAGAATATTGATATGAAATTTATAATGCGTTGTAATGTCTGAATTTGTAATATTCTAGTGTACTCCGCAATTTCTTTTGTATTGTGGTGTTCACTACATATATACCGTAATCCATGTAAATCTTTACTCTTTGAATATATTTGATACATCAAATTAAATATAATTATATATAATATGACTAAGATTCGATTTCGTATGTATTCAAACATGATTTGATTACTTTATTCATAAGAATAATTGTTCAATAATAAGTACGAATTTTTATAAATTTTAATAACTAATATTTTTTTCAGCAACATTTTAAAAAATTTAAATAAGTCTTAAAATCGAGTATTTTTATATTATAGATATTAGTATTTATAAGTATTTAGTTAGTATCCAATTATTGAATTAATCAATCAAATCTAGAATTTTTTTAATCCGATAAACCGTCCTACTTAGTAATTATCTTCATTCTATAACTTCTTATGGTAATCTATTGAATAATTATTTAATTTCACTTACTTCAATTATTTTCTTAAGTTATAAAATAATATAATGATAAATGGTTTACTATGGTTATGGGTTACGAGTAAAATTTTATGTAGCTAGTTAAACAATTTTCATATAATTTGAAAATGATTACTGTCAATATTATAACGGGGTTGCTTACCGTTTAATTATTTTTATTACGATGATCGCGTAAACGTGCTCGCAATCACCTATATCAAATAAGAAAGTCGGAGAGCAAGAGGGAACGGATGTCAGTCAACCAACTATCTGCGGGAGTGAAGAGAACGCTCTGAAAGTACTTGTTAATATCGTGTACGAAAACTCTTTATTATCTCTCAAAACGCTACATTAGATCGGCCCGCGTGTTTATGTTTACATCGGCGCTCGCTCGACAACAATATGCAGTGTCGGGACGCTCGCTGCTCTTTGTCCGTAGAGCTACTACATGCACGCTTCGAGCACGGAAAATTAATTGTTACGCATGCAATCGCGATCGCGAGACTAAGTTGGCCAGCTTACCTTTATTCTGCAGACGCACGGAGACAAAACTGAACGATTTACACTGCAGGAAAGTCTGTCTGTTCTTTTGTGTCGCGGATCGCGAATTCGCGTGCACGTGGTTTCGCCCTCGATGGCGAAACCTCACACACACTTCCAAACCACAGGACACGGCGCTTCTCTGCTGGCCCCGGTCTGCACTCTTGATATCTGCACGGCAGCTCGGCAACAGCAGTTTCCCAAAATCGGCTCTGGTGCGGATGCTCTGCTTACGGAATTCAACTCTGGTGCCTCATGTAGCGGTAGCTGGTTTCGTATACACGGGCGAGCGTGTTGATGGTTAAACCCTCACTGGTTCGATTTCAATCGCGCGCGTTCCGTCTGCTCGCGTGCCGAATTCCTTCGTTACGTTTTTCGTCTCCCCCGGTAGGTGCTGCCCCCGCAGGCAGCAATTAGGTTAGATTATTAGCGTTAATTCGACGTTTACCGTCACAATACATTGCGCATTACTTAGAATAATAGTAGAATTATCAATAAAAAAGTAAGCAAAGTATATTCTTTATGGTCGAAACTGTATAAATTAGTTCCACATTTATGTGAGAAGTGAAATTAAATTTATTTCATTGGAAAATATTATTTAGAACTTGCAAAATATAAATTGCAAAATTCATTTTTGAGGGAGAACTTTGAGAATGAATTCCATCCTCTCAAAATATTATTCCGCCGAATAGAAAAAACATCCGTTACTTATTTTTCTATGACATACAAGATATTAAGAGAATATTGAAATTATGAGGTAGGGTTGAGGGAGTGGGGTACTTTCCTTGTAAATTGCTAAGAACATAAAATATTAAAATATGTAAATCAGATAATTTCTATATTACTATTCGATGACAGCGTCACCCAATCGGGCGATTTAAATTTTTAATTTCTCATAACAAGAGCATTTATATTGTCTTATCTCAAGTTTTCAGCATCCATCGAATGTAAAGAACAGAAGAACGAAATATTACCAAGAAGATTATTTATTGAGTTGCTATTATTTTTAGTTAGCCACTAATTTTGTTTTGAGATAAATTGTTAGAGTAATAGTAAATAAAGTCGCATCTTTTATAAAATATGTGTTTTTCTTATTCCTGATTTCAAATTCGGGGTTTTCTACATTTTGGGGGCTTAGCCGGAATTGAGGAAATAATTAGAGAACAGTTGTAAGAAAAATACAATTAGACGTAATGTTGATGTGTTCGGCTGTAAGAGACTATGCTGATGGACCAAAGCTGATAACATGCGGTGATTTCGTTGCTCTAGTAGCTACATTTCAACGTGAATAAAAATCAGCTAAGTCAATTTTTATACATTTAGTTAGATTAGCTTAAGAGGTTGTTTTCTTATATATGGCGTTCGGTTTGCTTAGATATTGTTCCTAATTTAATCAGAGAGTAAGCTTAGACAAAAGTGCAGTCAAAGTCGAAATGCCTTTGATTGAGTTGACACAGATTGCTTGCTCAGATCTGAAATGGCACCCACCAAGGCAGGTGATCAAGCGCAGTCACTGGAATCAGATTGTCCTAGGTTAAGCTATCGCAAGTATCGTAAATTAACCAGATAGATTTTTTAGCATGACTAGTGATTCGTCAAAAGTACTCGCTCGACGGTTCGCCATGTGCATTAGACAAACGCGTTGTCGGTGTTCAAGTGAAGAAGATCATTGTTGTAATACCGATATCGCATGTCATCTTCCACTTCCCAGTTCCTTTAATTGTTAAAACGTTTTTCAACGTCATCTCTGTGCTAAAGATACCAGGGATTGGTATTAAGAGCAAATGTAGCAACTTCCTACCCATCCTTGAACTCACGCCACAGTGCATCTGGGACTTAATGAAGGATTTTCTTTCGGTAGATCAATTGAAAGTTCCATTTCTGTAATTCGAACTCCCACTTTATGAGCCACCGATTTTAATCCTTGCTCTACAGCTAAGTCAGAGTCATGTGATCGGTTACCGTAATAAAATGCGTATCTTCGGTATATAGTCTGAACTTTTTAATTGCGAAAAGCAAGGCGAGACACTCCACCTCGGACACTGTGAACTTCTGAACACTGATTCGCGAGTCGGGCAACACGCAATTTTTAACCACAGTGACGCTCGGCTCCACGTCTACACTTACAACTTTCAAATTACCGCTTCTGTAGCTACCGTTACCGCTCATCGGCTCTCGGCCATTAACTCGACGGCACTCTCGTTGCATCTGACAACTTGCTCTCTCTCTCTCTCTCTCTCTCTTTCTCTGTGTCTTCGTCTTTATCTCATGTGTTTAGAACTAACGTACACTCACTTTCCGTTCCATCCACTTCTCGGAAAAATTTTCCCGCACCTCGAACAAAAAGTCAAGTGTGAGTGTGCATAAAAATGTACACTCCCTACTTGATAGCAGCAAATAAGGGTGGCGGGCCGCAGAGCTAAGTCTTCTACTACAATATAATTATAAAATCTAAGTTACTTAAAGTATTCATTATATTCATTTCTTGCATTTAATCAGCACTAATATTTCAATTATATTTTATAAGTATTTGTAACAGCAAAGAAAGATCATCTTCATTTGTTTGGTTTTTAAGTATATTATAATTTTATAATTTGATTTGCATAAAACAAAATTCCTTCAACACTTTAACAATGTTTATCAATTTTTAGAAATAGAATAGAATGATATATTTGTCCCTAATATAAACCATTGGTTTTTATTAGAAACACCGTTTTTTCGAGTATATTGTCTTGACATATTTTTGAAATCCAGTATAATCGCTGGTAGCCAGTGTCTAAAAAAATTTCTTTACTGCTCAATTACTTCTTCGTAAATGAATAAACAAATATGAATAATAAAAATATGTGTGATCTTGAGGTTTGGGAAAATGTCATTAAAGAATATTCACAAATGATTTACACATTTTTTTTATTTATAGAAAACTTTATTATTATTTATTAGTATCCTTGAATAATTTAATCTGTTTCTTTTCATTCTATGCGTTGAACTCTAATGTAAAATTGTTTCCTGAATTTGATAGTTTGAAGTACATGTATAATTTTGTATTTGCCATTGTAATTTGGACTCATGGCAATCTTTCAAGACGACCTTCAAAACGGAATTCCATAGCCATTCTTTTTTTAAGTTCAGTGTACACAAGAATTTTTGTGCCATCATTGTGCCATCTTTGATTATGAATTTATGCTCATCGTATTTGAAATCGCCAAAGTTCCGTTCCAATCCATGATAATAGATAAAGATAGAGCTCCAATCACAAGTTATCTCGCTTGTATTTTTTATGTTAATCGCCGCCAAGAATATGATAATGTAAATTGTCGCACAAATGATTCTCGTGATAGTTGATTGGAAATATTGCAATATATTTTATGGCTTATGACTTTCCAGGAAATATGGAGCCTTGCATTTTGATTACATACTGTAATATTGTATTGGATGATAGTATTGTATAGGATAAAATGAAGCGGTATGTCGCGGTTCCTGCGGGAACATTTTTTTAACTCCAAACGCACATGGACTATAAGTTGCATACTGACTTCTATTCATGTCGATGTTGAGCATCGGTATAGATAGCACTCTAAATTGAGACAGAGTTTCCTGCTCAAGATGTTGGATTGAAAAAACTGACTAGCTTTAGCTTCTTTCTCATTTTTTTATGTAGTTATAAAGCTCAAGGCGACAAAGCATGGCTTCCCAAAGCACGGTTTGGTACTGATATGCATGACTTGAAAATATTTTTTTTTTAAAGTACATAAAAAAAACTGCAAAATGGAAAAAGAATCACCTTGATATCTCTTTTCAGTCGCGAGATTTTTGATTTTGAAACTTTTTTTTTACAAACAGTATATAGTGCGTCCTCGAAAGATCTAAATGCGCCTAATCCAAATTTGAGGTAAAATTTTTCCTTGTACGACAGATTTCCGAGATATCTTTACCTAAAAGTGAAGAAAAAACTGTTTTTGGCTATATTAGAAGTTAAATTACATAGTGAAAAATGTTATTTCTCAAAACCAATAATGCGATCTGAAAGCAT